AAAACAACGAGTAAACTGTGTGCTTAAATGGGAGATACACGGTACAGCTTGCTTTTATGCGTACAAAAAAAAAAAAAAAAAAAAAAAAAAAAAAAAAAAATAAAAAAAAAATAAAAAAAAAAAATAAAAAAGAAAAAAAAAAAAAAAAAAAAAAAAAAAAAAAAAAAAAAAAAAAAACTGCTTAAATGGGAGATACACGGTACAGCTTGCTTTTATGCGTACAAAAAAAAAAAAAAAAAAAAAGAAAAAAGAAAAAATCTAAAAACGTGAAAAAGAGGGAAGAAGAAAGCGGTGAAATTTGTTGGAAAGCGAAGCAGACAGCGCATGTAAGAGATTGCAGCGATGCTACAGGTGGTTGTCGCGGATCGATTCGTCTGACCAGCGATCGTCTGAAATAAGTTTCGCCATCAGGAAACTTCCTTAATACCAGTTTCGACCGTATTATATTTTATATTCACTCGTCGAGAAACTTCAATTCGTAGAAAACTTCGACAACACAAAAATCCTACCAGCTGTACTTTCACCTCGAATCGTAACGTTTTAGCCTAACCTTCCAACGCTCTTTCCAACATTTTAATCCTGCGATTTTCAATTTCATCGATCGTTAGTTTTCCTCTGGGAAACTTTAGCGAGAACGACGACTAGTAATTTAAAAAATACGACGACAGTGGCAAACGCCTTCAGCGATAATTTCTATCTATTCGTAACAAATTTTCATTATTTATACTCGAATCTCCTGATCGGAATTCACTGGGTGGAATATAAAAATAAAGAAATAAAGAACATTGTATTGGATACATATCTTCATAGTGTTCATATATTGGGTTGGCAACTGAGTCATTAGGTTGTATTGACAAAATCCGCAGTCACTTTGTGGTGGATGCTTAAACGTGTTGCTTCAAATGGTAAAACGAGTTGATACTTGTTATGGTCAAACGTATTTAAAAATCGTTCTTAATACGAAGTACAGAGTTAATACAATACGTCTTAATCGTCGCTCGCACCATGCTACTCGTTGTAAGGATATTAGGTACTCTCTGTCCTAGAGAGCGCGTGTTCGTTTGTTTATACTAGTGGAGAGAGTACCAGAAGGTTGAAATTCGACTCTGGTAGACGCGTAACCCGCGTAGCGGTGATATTGTTTTGTTCGGGGTTTTTTGTTATTACATTTCGTACGTCGAGACGGTGTCGATGTCTCGAGGCAAAACAACACGAGTCACTCTCGGTTCGCATCGTCCTATGACTCGTGCGCCGCTACAACTTAGTTGCCAACCGAATATATGAACACTATGAAAATATGTACATTCTTGTACTGCGATAATAAAATATGTATTACAGAAATGCACTCGTTGTTGGAAAATATTACTTCATATTAGCTCTTCCGCAATTGTATCATTTTTCTTCCATTTCGATTGCCAATGAAATATGCTAATTAAATCTTTGTATCGTCGGCTGATTCGAAGAAAATAATAACGTTGTGTAGGACGCTGAAAGGATGACAAATACGTAATAAAATTATCTTCCACAGGTTTAATATATTTTTTTTCATCAGCCTGTATTTGAAAGTAGAAATTGTCAGTCTTTGGACAGACGGAAGTTTCCGTAACGAAAAGTAGCGAGGGCCGATCAAAGGCCGGACGGTTTATTGAATTTACAAAGTTGCCAACGGCTCGATACACGTGGCCATACTAATTGCGAAGCCCATGCTAATTAAATGCCTGTGCCGGCCTAGCAACAGGAAACACTTGACGCTCATACAACTCCTATCTCTTTGATGTATCCCAGGCACAGGCTTCGGCACAGGCGCTGCCCACTTGTGGTGTTTCCTTTAGATTTCCATTTCGATGTGAACTTGCCTTTATTATCATATACATACACGGCAGGCAAAAGAGTAGCGAAATTTCCTCGGAATTAGAATGGTGTTTAGACTGGACATTTTGAATTTGTTAGGAAGAAATTTATGGAGATTCTGGTCAAATTTGCTTTTGTATTTCCACGGTGTATAAGTTTTCCACTGTGTAAAGAAACGTCTAGAGCGTATAGATTTTACACCTGCGAAGCAAAAATTTGTCAAGATGTGGATGAAATTTGCACCGTGTCCAATGGTCTTGATCGCAAAAAGTTTATTTGACATGTTCAAGAAATTTCCAAAGGATGAAAATGGAAGCTGGATAAATGTTTTGGGGGATCTTTGTCAAATTTTGACAGCGTCTAAAGCCTGGATCATAGAAATTTCCCATTTGCCGAGATCTTCGTGAGATTCCAACTGTGTCTAGAGTCTATTCTCTACATTTTCAACTCGCTAAGCAGAAATTTCTCTTCTAAAGAGTTTCTGAAGAGCAAAGTAAACGTCGTAGTATGTCTAAACTTTAGATTCTAACAGATATAAAATTTCAGATAGCGAATATGGTATTTGCTAGGCAAAAATTCGTCGACATTTTCGTAGAATCTCGGCTGTTTCGAAAATACATTTGTAGTCTCGCTAAAATTTAATAATATTTCAGCTGTTTTTAAATTCTACGTTATTTAAATTTCCGCCTTACTGGGCGAAAATTTATTCAGATTTTCGGAAAATTCCAAGTGTTTCCAGAGCCTAGATTATATCAATCTTATCGACTCTTTATCTTTATTATATCGACAATTAAAAATTTCTGGACACTAGGTGCTAGATTATATAATTTTCGATTTCCTACGCAACAATTAATTAATTTCGGTGATGTCTAAAATCTTAGAGGCAAATATTTATTCGCATCTTCGCAAAATTGTACTCGCGTCCAAGCATTAGATCGAGTATATTTATTATTTATTATTTAATTATTATTTAATTATTATTTTTTTATTTAATCACTTAGTTGCATAAATATATAAACTAGACCCAATTTACAAACAAGAACTCAATATATAAATACATGTACAAGAGAGTACTTGTCGAACAAAACTCGATGGAGTGTTTGATTTGGAAAAGAGTAAATTCTTGATCGATCGAATGACTCGCGTTTCAATCGTATCGAGTTCGTGTTCCATTTAAGAGAATCAACTAAACGTTTTAAGGAAGGATTGATAGCGGCCTCCTTATCTGTAGAACCTCTTTCTAGCTGCACACTTGATCCCACTCTTACAATCTCCTAATCCGCTGTTGAAATTGCCCCTTCGACTATGTCGAACCTCTTAATCGGCTTATTCTCACTGTCTGTAGAGAATCTACTTCTGTCCAATAAAACTGAAAATCTCTCGGAAAGCACCAATTGAAAAGGGAACGTATATTGCGCTTTGCCGTCGCCAACATGTTGCATAACAGTGCAGTACTACTGAACGTGTTAGTCTATTCAAGGGACGAATGACAAAATTGTAATGGTCGGTGTATGTTATTGGCTTGGCAACTAAGTGATTGCGGATTTTGTCATTAGGCGGTATTGACAAAATCCGTAATCACTTAGTTGCCAAGCCAATACTTTTGAAACTAGCAAATCAAAGCAATGTTGACACTCCAAGGCACAACAATATGAATCACTCGGGTTTGAATCTTTCGTTGACTCACGTGCCGCTGCAACGGTATAATTATATATCTAATTATTTAATTAGAACATCATATTGTGACGGCACTCGATAGCACAAATACCACCACTCGACACTAACTAGACTCTTTAGGTTACGAACGTTCAGGACCCGGGTTCAAATCTCGGCACCTGTAACGTCGATTCACATCAGAGACCAGGCCACGCATCGCGGACAGGATGACACCCAGGTGTCTGCACATTCTTGGTGCGCACCCTCGATAGTCTTACGTACCCACCGGGGATCTTGGCATTTTCCTAGTTAAGGTCCTTCGGAACAAGTATTTCCTGTCTTAGATTTCCCTTTACGTTTATTGTCTATTACGTGTTAGCCTAGAAAGTTGGTTTTCTTCACATTCGGTATGTTCCATTGGCAACTTTCTCGCCAGGGCGGCTAAAACCCTTCCTCATCCACCAATCGTCTTATTATCCAATCGGAGACGGTGTCTACTGCCCTCACTTCCTTAGCCAAAATTGTCATCAACAAATCCGATAGTCCCGTGTCCTTAGACACACCCATCCCTAAGCTTCCTCAGACACAGTATCGCCAGAAAGAGTCACTTATTCTGTATCCTTGGAATAGTCAACATATCCTTACCGGTCTCTACCCTTATAACAGTCGCGTACTTAACGTATCGTTGTAACCAAGTCTTACATAACGTGGTTGGAGTGAATTGTGATTTATGTTAATTCAGTGTGTGTTACATTGTGATTGCTGAATTCGTAATAAAGTTTAATTAAAACAAAATTAATAGTTGTGTTACGACTCAGCTATTTAACTTCATCAACCAACTCTTAAGTTTACGTGACACACCCGTGGTGCGATTTTTCTTCCACGATTCTTAAATGAGAAGAAAATACAGCAGCAGTACCTCAGCAGAGTGACATTCTACAGCCAGCAGCCACAATTATCAAAGACAACTTACACCTCAATATATTTAATACAAAACGAAGAAATATGTCACTACATCGACATTGTCAATTTTCCTGCAACATATTCGATATCCTTAATTAATATTACCTATGACATATTTACTAACAGTTCATCCACAGTTTTCCCTCACAATTTTTCAGACTTCCATTTCGATCGCTTCAGTACTTACGTTCCAAGTCTTACGTTCTGATCATCTGCGGATAATTCCAGTCTGTCAATCTATTGGGTGGGCAACTAAATGATTGCGGGTTTTCTCATTACCACCCAATGACAAAATCCGCAATCGCTTAGTTGCCAACCCAATACTGTGCAAGAAAGTGCTTAATTTACAGTTGCCTCGTTCATAACGAATCTTTCTGCTCATCACTGGCGAACAAATTTTCGATCAGACGTGTAACAGCTTATTAGATAGCGGTATACGTAGCTTAGTATAGAACAGGCGTAGCAAAAGCTTGGAAATTTCAACGTTGCAAACTATAAATATCTATGGAATGTTCAATTTTCTATTTCAGCTGTTAAGCTCTATCGTGGTAGTGGGTGGGACAAATATGGCAGGCGTTCTGACGCATCATCCCCGCGAACTGGCACAGAGGCAAGCCTTCCTGGAAACCAGGCAATGCGTCGAAGCTCGATTGACTACACAGAGAGAAAATCAGCAACAGGTATCGTACGCGAAATTCTATGAAATTCTATCTTTCTCCGACCGTGCAGACAAAGTACCACACTTTTATTCACAACGATAGAAGTCGCAGCTCCATCAGCGGAGGGAACTCTACAGTCTCTCGTGAATTTGGTATATCGATGGCTGCAGAGATTTTCAGAATTTAACAAATTAAAAATCTGCTCGTCCAATTTGGAAATTTATCTGAATTAAGAGCGTAGCTAGTTTAGAAATTTAATTGGAAATTTATCAAATTGTAAACTTGCTCAGCTTGGTAATTTCTTTAATTGGGAAATTGCCAATTTTGCAAGTTTCCCTAATTTCTTGATTTATTCAATTAGAAGTTGATCGAGTTTCCGACTATGGAGCTTCGGATTTCTAATAATCAAAAATTAGTAATTTTACTTAATCTACTTAGCTTTGAAATACGTCTAATTTAAGGTTCGCCTAAATTCACTTATTTCTCGATATCTGCCAAATTTAAGTTCTTTTATCCGAAGTGTTCATTCGGGCGAACGTTACCGAATTTTTCTTTGTGGACAAGGAAGGTATATTTTGAAAATTCAAATACCTTTCGATGTGCTATGGAACGATGCTATTTAACTGAGAATTAACTTGTTAATAACGCACAGCCAAGTATTTAATACAATGTCCATAACACAATGCGCCATATTATTACAATATTCGCATAACGCCAGCGAACCTTTTATCTCTTGTTTTAATGAAAATCGTTTTTTGACAAAGAGCTGCATCACGCCGGAGTCCATGGGAAATGTTGGCGAATAAAATCTCTGTTTTACATATTTTTAAACGTTCCACCTGCGGAACATCGTGCGAAACACAATTCCGAATTTTTTACGCGAGAAACAAGCTTCTCTATTTGTAAATTTATCCGTGCGAAAAATTCAGCGAATTCGCGATACAAAATTAGAGGACCGGCAACGGATTAAAAAGATAGGACAACAAAGAAATGAAAACAAAAATCGTATCGATGCAGGATACAATTTTTTGTAATTGCGTTACGTTAAGTAACGTTAATTGCTGCTCGATTACGCCGATATTTAGTATTCTACGGGGAACATTAATATTACCAGGTTGGAAAATCGGCTAGTTACTAATAACGAGTTTAATCAGAGCCAGTTCGATCGAGCAAACTAACGAAATTCTAATGATCAAACCTGCCCCGTTGCTGCCTCTGCACCTCGATAATTAATGTACTTCACTAATTGTTTATTAATATCATCATCGTCAGCCACGTATAGCGAACTATTTGCCCGACATTTTCTAATTTACTGTGATTTCAAACTAAAGGAAAATAATTGTTCAATAATTTACCGAGTAAGTTGATCTTCGTTCAAACTACGTGAAAATTCGAAACGAATTCGCGATAAGTGGATCGCTGATTTCTATGCAAGTTCACGTCTTAACGAATACAATTGAACGACCTAACCTCGTTACGAACAAACCTGTTTAAAGAAATCTATAGAGAAATATTAAAACGAGTAACTAGTTGCGAATCAGACTTATCGTTTTTATCTGCTAAACGAAGTTTCAAGAATTATCAACGGCTAGTTATCCTCGATACGTTTCAACTTTAATTAAAGGTAATTAACTTAACTCGTTGGGAGGGGGCGAAGGTTCTAATTTCTGAGGTAGTTAACCTAACAACAGGTAGATTATTTTTAGCAGCTAGGCGAAATAATAGCGGGCAACTGACGGAAGTCTGCTGAAGATAATGGTTTATCGGAGATCGGTTATAATTCCAGTGGACATTGTAGCCGTGACCAGGTTCATTGTATGCTTTAATCAGGTATCCGTGACCTGACGCGATAATAATCCACCACTGTCCTAGTAGCTCTCTCTTGTTTATCAAGCACATGGTCCTTGGCTTCATTCGCTCGATATCTTGCCTCTAACAAACACGTTCTCAATTTGAATTTGTGCAATTTTGTCAAATTCACGCTGTATCGCTAGAAATCTACGTACAAAGAACGTTCACGCTAGCTTTCCGAGATATTCAAAATTCTAACCTAATTCCTAATCTAATTCTAACTTTTCTAATTCTAAGTTTTTCAATTCTATGTACACGCGGTGAATACTTCCTTCAAACTTACCAATACTACAAATGTACGTAATATTATTCTCTTTTCCAATTAAATTTTTTATCAAGGAATATTCTAAGGTAGCAAGATCCTAACCTAGCTTTTTCTTCAATTCTTCGGTTCTACGACAGACGTAGTGCTTCCTTCGAACTTACTAATACAAATATATGTAGTATCATTCTCTTTTCCAATCAGATCTTTCACCTAGGAATTTTCTAAGATAGCAAAATCCTAACCTAGCTTTTTCTTAAATTCTTCAGTCCCATGACAGACGTAGTACTTTCTATAAACTTATCACTACTACAAATGTACGTAATATCGTTCTCTTTTCCAACCAAATTTTTTATCAAGGAATTTTCTAAGGTAGCAAAATCCTAACCTAGTTTTCTTTAAAATTCCTCAGTTCTTCGGCACACATAGTGCTTCCAAACTTACTTATTAACACTTATTAACGTTACAAAAGAACGTTCATCAAAAATCTTTTCAAGATGGCAACATTCTAACCTAACTTTCCTCCAATTCTTCAGTTTCGTGATACACACAGTGTATCTAAAGTAACTCGAAAGATATCGTACAGTGGCTATGACAAGTATAAGGAACTTGAACCTAATCGATTAGCATACATGGTGTCTCAGCTAAAAGAAGCTACCTAAATATCTCCTTTGTTTTTCGTAATATGAAGAATTGGCACAATTTGAATGGCTACAACGAACAAATACCCAAATACGAATAAAAACAAATTTTTATCGATAATAGCGTTGTTACGCTCTACCATTGCGGTGCAACATCGAGTTTTCCTCGGTTTCTATTTACACCACGATACAAACAGAATAGGAAAACTGGTGGAGAAGACAGATGAAATAGAAGATCAATTTGCGCTATTTTCATCAACAGAACCGAATTACTTTCTTCGTAACGAGATGAAATTTTGTTTGTTCTCGAAGAGCTTCCATCAGCACGAAATTAAAGCATACCGATGACCAAGTGAAAGCTGTCCAATCTCGCCTGCTAAAGTACTAAGGTCAGACCGGTTGTTTTTCCTATCCCAATACTTCAATCGAAAAGTTTAATTGCAACATTAATTGTCCTTTCTGTTTTCCTTTTGGCTGATTGGTGGCACTGTGAGAAATTTTGTCAAGAAGGCTACGTATGTACAGAGATATCGTGCGTATATTATTTGCAACGCGTACGAATTTTTCTATCGTTCGGATTTCCAAATACACGATCCTACATTTTCGCGTTTCCCGCATCGAGCTTGCGATTTTGCAACTTTTTGACTCGTTGATTCTCGTGTTTGCCATTTAAATTTTCAATTTTGTAACTTCTCAAATTTTAATTTACCAACTTCGCCTTTCAGCTTCACCAATTTCCGCTTTTCCAGTTTTAACTTTCAACGTTGCGTCTTCCAAACATGCAATATCCAATTTTTCAAATTTCCGTCGCAACAAAAGTTTAGCTTGCAAGCAAATAACCACAGGCAGGTAGTAAGGTATTTTTCGATAGAAAAATTTGTCACGGTGTTATTTCACGATCGAGAAAATATCGGGAAAGGTCAAGTTCCACTTATCTTCGAATTGACAGTATTTTTATTCGAACGATCAACCGATTCACGAAGGAAATAATTGCATCTCCGTGAATTTTAACACAGTTTCACGTGGCCAACAGTGGGTCATTTCTGGCTTGAACGAGCGCAATGCGTGATCGTCGTTGCTTAGAACTGCCTGGCTTCCCTTATTTTTCTTATTTTAAGGTTGCCAGTTTGCATAAGTTTCGCGTATACCGATGGAATTTATGGTTCCATGGTATGCAGTTTCGGCACGATGCTACGATACGCTGTTAAACCGGCAACCATCGTCGACAAGTTCTTTCATAGTACTCTCGCAACAAGATATATCGCGTTCAAGATGGAATTTCCTTCCGAGAAAATTAAAAAGTCGGACTCTAAACGTTCTATGAAATATGTTTTTCATTACACGTTCCATCTACACCGAATGTGGAAGATATTCGCGTATGCGAACGATTCGAGCTTTCTTCGAGGAGTCAGAAAGGCTAATTTACCAGACGACGCGCAAGAAAATTTAGCAAGCTAATTCCTCTGACATTTCGAAAAACAGGTCAATTTTAAAGAAACTTGTACTATTCTAAAGAGTGTACGAATACTTTACATACGACAGATGACGAGTATACTCGTCAAACTCAAAGTATGTGTCAATCGCTAAACTGCAGTTTAGACAGCAGATTCTAACTACTTTTCACGCATGACGAGTATATTCGTCATAATACAAAATACTGTTATCACTTCCGGACGAGTACATTCGTCAGAACGCAAAATACTGCCACTTCTTTATGACGAGTATACTCGTCTCAACACAAAATACTGTCATCGCTTCGCGACGAATATATTCGTCATAATACAAAATACTGTCATCACTTCACGACGAGTATATTCGTCATAACTCAAAGTACTGCCACTTCTTCATGACGAGTATACTCGTCAGAGACAGCTGGCCGTGTAGCTGTCCGAAGCTACAAGTTGCTGCGATAAACCGTTCAGAGGGACAAGAAGAATCGATCTCGATTGAAAATTTTAATCAACTGAGAATATCGAGCAATGGAGAAGTCTAACGAGAATCCAGGAAATGCAATACGGCGAGGCGACAAAGGAATGAAACTAGCCGACACCTGGTCAGAATGAAATGGAAGGTAGCGTTACGTGACTCGCAATAGGAAATAGCGGCCAAGAGGTCGTGCGTATTGGCCGATCACGAACGATAGGTGATCGCACGTGACACAACACAGGTGCGCGCAACCTGTTGTGTGCGGAGAGGCTGATCGATTTATACGGCGTCAAATTAGTCGCGGTGAGGGGCCGCTGTAATTTCAGATTCTACGACGCGTACGGTATCCGTGCGCTTGGTAACAAGAGAAACCAGACTAAGTAACGATCGGACCTGAATATTTCATAGTTCGTATGAAATTGAGCGAGATACATCGACGAACGGAAGGATCACCTGGTAAAAGGAAACATCCCATTGGAATCGTTCGATCACGCCTAGCGAATAAAGCAGCTGACGACCGGCTTCCTCGCAACAATATCGGCAGCCTCGTTTTCGTATTTGTCGGTCGCGAAAATTATGCGAGCTTCTGTGACAAGGGCTGGGGCGCGACAGGCAGAACGAGTTTGAACGTGGCGGAGATCTTCGACGAGGGTGGAAACACGTGCCGGTGATGATGAAAGTGGTGTAAGTCGTCAGTGGGGAGAAAGTTTCTTAAAATATTTAGAGATAAAGAGATAGACAGCCAATGCGAGTGGTTCGAAGTTATAGAAACAGCGAATATTCTGATGCAGCAACCTGTTCTCTTCTTTTCTCTAAGTAAACTTTCAGTTTCGTTGAAAGATTTGTATCGTTCGTTGGTAATAATATCTATTGGGTTGGCAACTAAGTGACTGCGGATTTGGTCATTAGGTAGTAATGATAAGATTTGCAATCACTTAGTTGCCAAGCTAATAATATTAATAACTTGCAATCAGGATGACGTAAAGTGCGTTACGACGTACACATAGTGTACGATATTTCAGAAAGAATACTTTCTACGTCTTTCCTATTTATAATTTTTAATTTCTCCAATTGCACGAACGATAATACCGAAAATAGATATATTCGAACAGCTGTTAAAGGTAGAAAATGATAGAAAAAAGAAAGGTTCTAATCTGGCAGTCCCTTGGGATATTTGCGCGAAGTATGCGAGGAAGGGACCATGAATTTCCCGTGCGATGCGAGGAAATTGCATTCCCCTTGCTCTTTGCTGTTCGAACGTCGTAGACGAGAGGCTGTACGCGATGAACGACGACGAATTTTCTCTGATTTTTTTGCAGGAACGGCTTCTATTGAGCGTGTTGCCACGCCACGTAGCCATGGAGATGAAGGCAGACATCGCAGGGAAGCCGAAAGATACCATGTTTCACAAAATTTACATTCAAAGGCACGAGAACGTCAGGTGAGTACCGCCTCGAGTATCCAAACGCGAAGATAAAAAAAGAAAGAAGAAGAACTATCTCAGAGATTTAGCATTGCTATAAAGTTCAGGTTGATCGTGATTGACGATAGTTTTTGTACAGTTTGACTGCCTTTCGGACATTTAAGTCGATGAAATTAGACTTGAACGTTTGGAGGTTTGAGATAGTTCGGTCAGAGGTTTGAGACTTTCTGTTTGAAGGTTTGAAAGCTTCTGTTTGAAGGTTTGAGAGTTTTTGTTTCAAGGCTTGAGAGCTTCTGTTTCAAGGCTTGAGAGCTTCTGTTTCCAGGTCTGAGAGCTTTTGTTTCAAGGTTTGAGAGCTTCTGTTTGAAGGTTTGAAAACTTCTGTTTCAAGGTTTGAGAGTTTCTGTTTCAAGGTTTGAGAGCTTTTGTTTCGAGGTTTGAGAGCTTCTGTTTCGAGGTTTGAGAGCTTCTGTTTCAAGGTCTGAGAGCTTTTATTTGAAGGTTTGAGAGCTTTTGTTTCATGGTTTGAGAGCTTCTATTTGAAGGTTTGAGAGCTTTTTCTCGGAGGTTTGAGACTTCTTGTCTGAAAGATTAAGATATTCAAATAGAAATTTGGTCAATTTTCCCGTAAGGTTGGTAACTGAAGTCTTCGTAAATAATACTACGTACAATTTGCCGAGTTTAAATCCTTCTTTTCAAAGGAGCAAGTTTGTTTAAAGTACGATACTAACTAAATGTATTCCATTACAAATTCATCGAATTCAATTAGTTTTTCCAAGGCAAGGGATTCTTTCTGTAAGAATTAACCATATTCTACCGCGACGTTCTTCTTCTTTAAAAGAAACCTATTTACAGACCTCATTCATATTCTACTGCATAATAAACAGACCACTGTATTCATTGCGTAATAATTTACCATAAAAATCCACCAAATAGCGTTTCCTATTCAAAAAGGGAAAACATGTCTGACCAAATCGATCACATTCTACTATACGGCGCTCAGCTCATTGCACGTTTACCCGTCGACTATTTAAAATAAGACTTGTACCAAGCTAGTTCCTTCATCCATAGAAAGACGTCTGTCTCTGGAAACCAATTACACTGCACTATATATTAGACCGATTGTATTAACATCTCAGACGTTTCAATCAAAAATTTACCGAAACCTAATTCCTTTTGCCAAAGGAGGAAAAGCCTGTCTGCTTAAACCACTCTTCTTCTACTGTGTAGTATACAGACAATGCAGTATCCGCTCCTGAGTCATTGAAAATAGAAATCTACCGAAACCAATTCCTTGGAAACTCTTCGAAAGAAAGACAATTATCAGTCCAAATCAATCCTATTCTACCGTACAATCTATTATATGTTACACAATTAACCGCGTTACACAAAATCCCATGTAATGCAGTTAATTCGTCACTGTTGGATTGGCAAATAAGTGGTTGCGGATTTTGTCAATACCACCTAATGACAAAATCCGTAATCACTTAGTTACCAACCCAGTATGTTTGTTCGTTGCACGGTAGAAAGTTGCAATCGGTGATTCGACAGTAACGCGTTAACAATTATGATCGACATAGAGCAAAATCAAGTTTACAATACGACTCAACGAATCAGTGTTAAGCACCGTACAAATTTGTAAGAGAAAGTCAAGATTCTTTGTTTTTCTTTATTAGCACCTTGCGAGATTTACACAGTTTACACATCTGCAAGTAACGTTGCTAATTGTACATCGTATACCTCCATAACTCGAAGATTTTTACCTCTTAATTCGAGGTTCCACCGTATATGCGTTATATTTTCCAATATATATATATATAGCTATATTTATATATAAAAATTCGCGTAATACGACAGGCTACTGTATCAGATTGCTAATAAAATATGTGAAAATTAATAGACACGCGTATCTGACTGAATAATTCTGGCACGGTGTATTCAGTGAGGCGAAACAGCTGAGCATCCAACTCTATTATACACCAGGCTGACACACGCGTCTATTATACGTTACGGTAACGCGTATCTGCCACTCGAGGCTCGTTAAGTCGCACGACATCTACTACCCTTACGAATTCCAATTAACATGCTGATATAATAACGACTAGAATATAATACCGAAGAATATATAATATTGCATTTGTTCTATTTTCTAGCATTCTGTTCGCCGATATCTGCGGGTTTACTTCGTTGTCGGATCAGTGCACTGCCGAGGAAGTCGTCAGGCTGTTGAATAAACTGTTTGCCTGGTTAGTCTATTTTATATTTATTTTGAATATTTTTCTATTTTTCCTATGCTATGTATTTTTCTTTTGTATTAGAATTTCATTAATCAATAATTTACTAAAATTTTGTATCATGGCTACTCGTCATATTTTTTCGTTATTTCGTTAAACAATTATACGAGTTGTTGATTTTACATTAGAACGTTTCGATCGAAACTTTGCTTCAGTTTTCTTTGGAAGTTGAAGATTTATTCTAATTAATGGACGAATCATTCGCATGGAAATTCTGTAATCTGTTTGTTACGTTAGCTTCGACACGCTGGCGGCTGAGCACCATTGTCTTCGAATCAAACTACTCGGCGACTGCTATTACTGTGTCTCTGGACTTCCGGAACCGAGACCAGATCACGCTCGTTGTTGCGTGGAAATGGGTTTGGACATGATTAGCGCCATTACGTGAGTCTTTTGTCATATTAATTGCTATACGTGCATCCGATTTTTTTTATAGCTTTAATCACTGACCTATCGCACGAGCCTCGTTGCTTCACCCTTTTCATCAACTTAACACGTTCATCGCTAATTTTCCCTCTGCAAAGCGCTAACCAAAATCACTTCTACTTCAATCGACACTGTTAACGAATTAGCAATGAAAATCCTTTCTCTGTGGTGTTGGCAACTAAGCGAGTGCGGATTTTGTCAATACCACCTAATGCCAAAATCTGCAATCACTTAGTTGCCAAGCCAATTTCAAATTGCAATTAAACGTTGCCACTTTACCGACCAACAGCATACGCACGTTCGACCGGCAGCTCAGGCGCGGATTCTCCCTGGCGCCGGCTCTGTTTCGGTTTACACTCTCCAATACCATTCTTTTCGTCCATCGCGAACGGACAGTTTTGCAAATTGCTATAAAACCGTGGCAGCTTACGAAGCAACGCGATTGACGCGACTGAGCAAGGTACCTTAGTACTAAATAGCAAATTACTGCTCGAATAATGAGAAAGATTGTCGGCGATAAAAACCGATTAATCGGCTATCAGTCGGTAAGCGTGGGCGATAAAAAACCGATTAATCGGCTATCGGTCGGTAAAGTGTTGAGAAAAATTGCCGATACAAATTATCAAGAAAATTATAAATAGATGGGAAAAATAGATGTTTGGGAAGATTGTTAATAAATCGTTGAGAGAATTTATCGTGCAATGAAATGCAATTAAACCTTCGGGAAAAGCTTGCGTCTCTTACGAAACGCTCGCTGTACATCCTTCGAAATATCTGTGCGCCGCGTTTGATTTTATAAGGAAAATAGATAGAATACGAGCTTCTTTTGAGAGCTCCGTTCTGAAAAGAATTTACGATTTGTTTCGTTATAAATCGTCATTATAGAATCCTCGAGAGTGACCACGTTCGTTTCCTACGGCCACCACCATTCCGAATAACCTTTTATTCTCCAAGGAAATCATTCCTTTGACAAGGCTGGATGTTTTTCAGTCTCATAACGAGAATCCACGTCTCGACAGTCTACGGTCTACTTTGACTCGTTTGCTCTGTTTCCGGCTCTTACAACGCTCTCTCTAACCTGCTTCTTCTGCCCCGCCATTTCTTCTATCATACGACGGAAACGCTATTAAACGATAATTCTGCGAAAATGCAAGCTACCCGTGTAATTTGAAACTACCTGTAGTCACGAGATTAAGAAATACAAGGAAAGCTCTGTTTAGTTTCAACGAGGATCTCTGATCGTACGTTCAACGTCCGAGGAATTTTTCAAACACCCTGTATGTCGTAATTTGCCATCGTGTCTTTGTCATCGTATCTATCATAATTATTACCATCATATCTACGCTTAATCCACATGCAGGAAAAATGAAGTCCATAAGCGGAATTACAATCGCAGCTGAGAGAAAGAAACGTAACTAACTTTTCACTTGCAACGAGCTTCCAACGGGATCTGACTTTCGAGAATTTTTTAAGCAGCCTACATACCGCGATTTCTCACTGAAAATTAACTCGTTTCTCACTGTAAACGCAATTCTATTCGCTGACTTTTTTTTACATTAAACCAACTTTCACTGACATGCTGGTCTAGACTGGAGGACTTTTGAAACACCTTGTACATAGTATAACTTATTCATATTTTTACATAAATAATTTCAAAGAAACAATCCATCCTCTGTAATTACAATCGTTTGTGACTAGCAGTAACAGACCGTAGTTCTCCATTCTAGAGAAGTCACAACTTTTTGAACACTCTATATATGTATTGGGTTGGCAACCAAGTGATTGCGGATTTTGTCATTAGGTGGTACTGGCAAAATCCGCAATCACTTAGTTGCCAACCCAATACAACGGACTGCACAGGAGTAGGCAGGCTAAACACAAGCGTAGAGAAGTATTTTAAGAGATAGAAGATCGGAACTGGTGAAGGAATCGTTAAGGAAGATGTGATTAAAAAGATAAAGAAAAGAGAAGATACCAGAGATTAAAAGGTGCAACAAGCAGGCAATTAGCGACAGGGTCGTTGGCGGATATAATAGTCTTTGAGTAGCAGCGGCTTGTAACGTAGACAATTAGTGTGCAGTAACCAGATTAAGAGTAGCATAAAGAGTATAGCACGGAAGGATGAGTGATAAGATCGGACCAGGAAGGATGTGATTAGAAAAATTGCAAACCGAGTGGTATTTCTTGGCCGCGAGTGTCTTTAAAACGAGACAAATTGCATGAATTAAATTTTTTACAATATGCGTGAATCAGATAACACTCTCAGAGAAATAGCGCTCAAATATATATATACACAATATTTTGCAAAAATAAAATGTTATCATGTAGTATATTTTAACCCGCGATATTTTATTTTGAAAGAACCAACGGAAATCCGATTATCGCGATGATATTCTCGATATACTTGACGATAAACTTTTCCAGTTTATATCGAGAGGTTGGTGCGGTGAACGTGAACATGAGAGTGGGGATACACACAGGCAGAGTTCATTGCGGGGTCCTTGGCTTGAGGAAGTGGCAGTTCGACGTCTGGAGCAACGACGTCACCCTGGCCAACTACATGGAAAGCGGCGGAATACCGGGGCAAGTTTCTCTCCTATTCTCTTTTTCCCTCGGCGACGAAATTTCCAAGCGACCATTGGGAAACCAATTTCCATTGGGGAAGAACGTTGTCTTACATCATCGACTTACTATTATTTTCCTATTGTATGCTTTGAATAATAAAAATACTCCGGTGGCGTCCTGAGCGAAACATGTGATTTCCGCGTGGCAGTCAAAGTGTTAATGGACACCTGAGTATGATGATCTCTAGTATGATTTTAATATAATTAAAATCGACAATTCAATTGCTAATGATGTTAATTAATAACGTGGCAATCGTATATGGGTTAACAACGTAAAAATCCGTTCGAAGAAGCTGATAGACAGAAAGTTGTGATTTATTTTTCAAAAACCTCGATCGATGAACTGTAGCGTGGTGTTGGAAATGACGAGCTGCGATTATTTCTGTACAGACGAGTGCACATCACGAAAGAAACACTGGACTGTCTTGATGGCGTTTACGAAGTGGAAGAGGGTCATGGGGGTGAGAGAAACGCGTATCTGAAGGAGCACGATATCAAAACCTACCTAATTGTCCCCGGAGACACGTATAAGGGTAACTTACCCTCGTCCGGGCTGAGGAAAGGTTTGCCAGCGAATGGCAACGTGTCGAAAGAGATGAGAGTGATGGGACACGGTTCGCAACACGGCAAACAGAACAAGTAACTGGTTCATTCTTCCTTTTACGTTTTCTCCTTATGAAAATAATTTTAGACCAACGCGCGTGGATTTTCCTAAACTTCGTACATTCCGAAATCGTAAGTTTCTTCGGAATACGAATCTTTAATAAGAAAGTTAACTCTTTTCTATTTTATCATATTAAATAAATATCATTATTTATTTATTTGTTATTTTTTAAATATTAAATAATATATTTCTACGGATCGTGTGAAATGATCGATCGTACGATATAATTTCCAGGGGTCGGGGTATCGAAAGAAAAATTTTCGAGACTTAAGTCGCGACGAATGTTTGATTTATGAATTTTCAGTTTTCCAATGTAAGAAGTTTCTCTTGTACGGACCTTTCTGTATCGGTTATTAATCCTGCGACAGATTAGGGTTTGGCGAGACGACCGAGGCGAAAAAGGACCCGGAGGACGAGGTGAACGAGTACCTGATGAGGGCAATCGACGCCAGGAGCATAGATCGATTAAGAGCGGAGTATTGTACGCCCTTTGTCCTAACTTTTCGTCTGCCCGACGTCGAAGGGAAGGTAAATGCAAATTCTTGTCCCCTTCCTGTTTATTTCAAAGATTCCTATTAATTTATAATTCCTGAAATAATTTATCTTTCCTCTAAAAGACTCTCGATAATTTACTGCCGTAAGATCGTGCAATGATTAATAATCGGCTAATAAATTACGCCATTTTGTGTTCGTCTTTGGCTTCCTTTTATTCTTTCATTATTATTGTCATTATTTTTTAACACGTTCACACTAGCGCTGCTATTTTATTTCTGTGCTCGTATTCGTGTTTGTAACAAGTTTATAGCATCGAATGGTTATTTGTTTAAATAAATCCTACTTTTTTCAATTAATGTACGTTAAATTTCCATTATTTAAACGTTTTTTGCTGGTACGCACCGTCCGATGGAACGTTCGAGCGTGAGCCACCGGTGGTACACGCCGTCTAATGGGAGACTCGAGCGTGAGCCACCGGTGGTACACGCCGTCTAATGGGAGACTCGAGCGTGAGCCACCGGTGGTACACGCCGTCTAATGGGAGACTCGAGCGTGAGCCACCGGTGGTACACGCCGTCTAATGGGAGACTCGAGCGTGAGCCACCGGTGGTACACGCCGTCTAATGGGAGACTCGAGCGTGAGCCACCGGTGGTACACGCCGTCTAATGGGAGACTCGAGCGTGAGCCACCGGTGGTACACGCCGTCTAATGGGAGACTCGAGCGTGAGCCACCGGTGGTACACGCCGTCTAATGGGAGACTCGAGCGTGAGCCACCGGTGGTACACGCCGTCTAATGGGAGACTCGAGCGTGAGCCACCGGTGGTACACGCCGTCTAATGGGAGACTCGAGCGTGAGCCACCGGTGGTACACGCCGTCTAATGGGAGACTCGAGCGTGAGCCACCGGTGGTACACGCCGTCTAATGGGAGACTCGAGCGTGAGCCACCGGTGGTACACGCCGTCTAATGGGAGACTCGAGCGTGAGCCACCGGTGGTACACGCCGTCTAATGGGAGACTCGAGCGTGAGCCACCGGTGGTACACGCCGTCTAATGGGAGACTCGAGCGTGAGCCACCGGTGGTACACGCCGTCTAATGGGAGACTCGAGCGTGAGCCACCGGTGGTACACGCCGTCTAATGGGAGACTCGAGCGTGAGCCACCGGTGGTACACGCCGTCTAATGGGAGACTCGAGCGTGAGCCACCGGTGGTACACGCCGTCTAATGGGAGACTCGAGCGTGAGCCACCGGTGGTACACGCCGTCTAATGGGAGACTCGAGCGTGAGCCACCGGTGGTACACGCCGTCTAATGGGAGACTCGAGCGTGAGCCACCGGTGGTACACGCCGTCTAATGGGAGACTCGAGCGTGAGCCACCGGTGGTACACGCCGTCTAATGGGAGACTCGAGCGTGAGCCACCGGTGGTACACGCCGTCTAATGGGAGACTCGAGCGTGAGCCACCGGTGGTACACGCCGTCTAATGGGAGACTCGAGCGTGAGCCACCGGTGGCGCACGTCGCTCGTACTTAAATCAAAGTGACCTAATCTACTGTTGTTTAAACGGAATAACATTCGAGAGTTTTGTTCGTAAGAAAACTGAGAAAGTGTTATGTATCCGCGAAGATTTCGAAGAAGAAGAAACTATTTATTCGTAAACCATTTGTTGCAGTATTCGCGCGAAAGGGACAGAATGCTCTCGGCATATTTCGTGTGCTCCGGCTTCGTCTACATGGTCGTCGTGATTGCTATAGCGATCACTCTACGAGGGTAACTCTGTCGTTCTGTTAATTAAACTGTCGATCAACTAGGCTTTGTCCAAATGTCGCTTTGCCTCATATCGAAAGCCAATAATTTTCAAAAGTTTGTAACGCGATCGGGATTTCGGTAAATTCCATTTTATTTCGATTCTACTGAAATTCAACAAGGACGTACGTAAATCGAAACGTATTTCCGTACAAACTATATTCCCAAATTTTTCGGTTCCATGTCGCTGCTACGTTTTGGACAGCTAGAAGATCGAACATGGTTTCTGTTGATATAGTTCGTCAGGAATAGGATAATAGCAGTTAGAAAAATATATAACAGTTAGAAATGAGAAAGGTTGTGTAGAAGGACCGATATTGGTTTCAGTTACGATTCTACCATCTGTTATCGTATCGGTCCTGTATCCGCGTATTTCGAAGTGCTTCTATATCGACAGAAACGGTTCTATTGACCGAGCAAAAGTGAAGCCTCCAGAGGCTTTCATAACGGTTACGAAATTGAATCATTTTTCAGGAGCGGATACTTTTACACTTGTGTGACAGTGAGCACGTTGATCATCGCCACGATCAATGGGATACTACTGGCAGAGAAGAACGAGGTGAGGCTTTCGCTCAGACTATCGTCCTTCTCCGCTATCTGCGAGGAAAAGAATTCTTCGAACGAATTTGAGGAATCGCGTTGCAACGTGCATCGCGAGCAAATCGATCGCGTTCGCTCTTTGGAATCTTGCCACTTCCTCTTGACCTTGAATTCGTGGCGTGATTCCAGGTCACAATGCCGAGGTCGTTAATCGTGTCTCGTACATACGTCGCCGGCGATTACATAATTCGCGGTATTTGTCCCGTACACGCGACGAAAAATTTCGACGAAAGAAGGAAAATCATTGAGAAAATTTCTATGGAATTTCGCTGGCACGGTACTCTCGAAATATTACGCGTTCCACGATTACTTCCAGGCATTGGATTGGCAACTAAGTGATCGCGGATTTTGTCATTAACGCCTAATGACAAAATCCGCAATCACTTAGTTTCCAGTTCAATAGAATGAAAAATATGACAAAAACGAACGATAGGTTGCACTATTAGGTTTCCTACAAATTTTCAGTGACAGTATTTTCCAAATTTCGTTGGAGAATTTTTATCAAAAAAAAAAAAAAAAATATTACAAATTAAAGAATACTAGAGTTTTGTAACCAAACGAGAACGATTTATTTCGACGATAATACACCGTTTCAGAGATTTTCCAGCCAATCTATTCAAAAGAGAATAAGACTATAACCGAAGACTCGAAGAGATGAAATCTTTCAACTACGTAGACGATGTACGTTGAAATTCTGTTTCTTTAGAGAGTGCCACGGTGTCTGCGAGATTTTGCGGTGCACGTGTTCGAGAATCGTGGAGTCGCTCAGGTGTTAGCTACGTGTGTCGTGTTCCTCACTTTCGCCACAGCTTTATCACCGTTGGTAAGCTCACGTTATTACACTACTACACACTATACGTTCTAACATTATGCTAGTGCTCCAAGATAATACAGATCGCTGTACTACAGACATTTGTTGATGTATGTTTATTACTCGCAAGCAGTTTCTTAGTAACGAAAACACAGATAAATCTGTTCACATTATCTCTTCTTTAGGTTCTTCCACCTAAACCAAGAGAAAGGTTTTAGATATCGATGAATGATAGCCGTCTATTGAGATGCGTATAATTTTACGTGCTACACTGGATTAGCTGCGTGGTAGTGATACATGTGTGTGCATATGAGTGTGTGCAAGTATGTGTGTGCGCGTCTCGAAAACAAAGGAACGTAAACTGTTCAGTCAGTTAACAGTCTGGTATGGAAGAAGATGAGACAAAGGAAGTGCTGAAACGCGTGTGTCACGCAAACTCGAGGATTACATGATAAAAACAAGGTTAAACCGAAGCACAACTATTAACTTCCTTTTTTTATTAAACTCTATTTTTGCGCTTAATAGTCGCAATCGAGTGTACACTGACGCGTATGTATAAATCAAGTACGCGACTGGTCTAAGGATAGAAACCGGTAAACATATGTCGACTATTCTAAGGATACAGAATAAATGAAGTTTTACCGACGATACTGTGTCTGAGGAAAGCTAGGGGTGGCTGTGTCTCAGGACACGGCACCATCGGATTTCTTGATGACAATTTTGGTTAGGAAAGCGAGGGCAGTAGACACCGCTTCCGATTGGATAATAAGAAGGTTGCTGGACCAGGAAGGGTTTTAGCCGCCCTCCAGAGAAACTTGATAACGAAAGATACCGAACGTGAAGGAAAACCAACTTTCCCGTGTCAGCCAGTAGCAAACAATAAATGTAAAGGTGCACTTAAAACGAAAGATACTCGTTTGGTCGTTGAAGGACCGTAACTATGAAAATGCCAAGACCCATGGTGGGCCCTTAAGACCATTGAGGGTACGCACCAAAGAAGCGTAGACATCTGGCTACCATGTTGCCCTCGGTGTGCGCCCTGGTCTCTGATGTGGATCGATGTTACACGTGCTAGCGTATCGATGAATATCCTTGAAATCGTTTATCAAATAAATATATAACTATTTTAAGATGAATTCTAAGCGGGAACTTAGTGTTCCTATAGCAATATTTCGGCAATCGAGATGCAAAATTATCAACACCATCTAATAATTTGCTTACGATATACCTTGAGCAAGTAGCCTATTTGTTAACAGACTGTAAATATCGAACGCTATATTGCTGAATGTCGTTCGTTGTTTAGCTTCGTCTGTATTGCCTATCACGTAGTGACATGGACGTACAGTGTAGAGAAATCTACTGTAATATCAACGATTGCAGGCATTCCAGTAGCTCGGTATAGTATTGTCTGAAAGCTGGTGTAATTCCTCAAAATCCGACAGAATCTCGCGCACCGTATTATTAGGAGAAAATTCATGAGAGTGGCTATCGATCATCATTTAATACTAGGTATATATAATGAAATAGATAGCTATAGCCATCATCCATCATCGACGAATCTATAAATCCATTGATCTGGCAGAGAATATGAACGACATTGGCCTACGATCTCATTAGAATTCCATTTTTCCTCCACTACTTGTCAGATAGAAAACTATTAAAACACGTATAGAGTATTAACGGTATTATGAAACTAAGAGAACTCTACAAGTTTCTTTTCTATTTTACAGGTAGAACTTTTATACAAACTACTGATAAAACTGTAATACTATTGCCGTGCCTATAGGAATGAAAGTTTTTAGATGATTAGCAACATATCATGGATGTAAAATAAATTTTAATATTACATTTATTTGGTCAATCGGTTTTATTTTAATATTCACAATTGGAGGATTAACAGGAGTAATACTATCTAATTCATCGGTTGATATTATCTTACATGATACATACTATGTTTCATTATGTTTTATCTATAGGAGCAATTTTTACAATCATTACGATATTAATTCGTTGATATCCATTAGTTACTGGATTAATATTAAATAAAAAATGATTAAAAATTCAATTTAATTCAATAATAGCTATACCTCGACGATATTCAGATTATCCTGATTTAATTTCTTCTGTTGGAGCTATAATTTCTATAAATAGAATACTATTCTTAATTTTGATTATTTTTGAAAGATTAATCGTTTAGTTGCCAACCCGACAGAAGCTATTTGCACAAAGTTGTGTCACGTACAATTCATCAGCGAACGACTCGAGAAATGAAAGTTCTATCGAAACGTACATTTCGTCAAGGTGATATTAGAAAACATTTGGAACATTACGATTAGATTCGTAAGTATATATAGTACGAATATGTAAAGACGCGATGATACCAAACTTGGTGAAACCAAGGTCAAGCGTAGCGGAAACCATACGTCGTTCCTCGACTCCTGCACGCCAAATAATTCAGCAAACACGGTAAGAGGCTGATTTAAAAATAGCTGGAGATATATTTGGAGCTTGTTCGAGATAGACCTTTTATGGCAACAGTTTTAAATTTGGAACGTGGGTGGCAAAAATTGCCAAGCAGCTAAATATAAAAATACATGTTAGTGGACGAGTGCAGGGAAACGTTGGAAAAGCCAGTTTCTAATCGAAAGGACAATTAAAAGTACACAGCATAGGACAATCGATGGATGATTTTGCATTTTACATGGTTCGGTTTCATTTTCACCGATCGTTCGATCGAGAAAGAGGAACTTTTTAGGAGGAAAAAATTGGAAACGCGATGGAAACCGATTGATTTGTTTTTCGATTGCAGGTAACGCTGGAAGATGGTCACGTGTGTGGGAACGTGACGTCTTCATTGACCGAGTGGCCAGATAATTCAAGCGTAACGTTCCAGAGTATCGACACGCCCGTCGATGTTTGCTATTACACTGTCTTTGCTGACGTAAGTAACTGTGATCGATTCGATGTGCCCAGCCGCGAAGCTCCACCTTGAATTAACTCGGGATTAACCGGAAACGCGATGGCTGCTACTTGTGTGCAACTCAGACCGCGTTCCCAAGCTACGTCAAAATCGTTTCCATGCACATGCACGCGATTCGATGACTCTGTGCTTTAATCTAACTTCACTTTACACGAGTTTACACTAATGAAGTTTGTATGGATCTTCAAAGATAATTGCACGAGTCTAAATCAAGCTTGCTCTGACCTAATCCTAGTGAAACTGTACCATCAATCGAAGGCGAAATGAGCTATTTATTCGGTTTGCTGATTGATGCAAGCTGGTTAATTCGAGCGGGACAACATTCTTAAATCGAAGACAAAATGAGTCGAGCCTAGGATTATTTAAACTTAACTTTGTTTGAGATCTTCAGCTCAGCCGTACCGATTCAAACCTAGTTAAATTAAACCGAATTATGTGAAGCCTAGCTATACAAATCGGGTCAAACTGAGTCGAACGTAGTCAATTCGAATCAAACTGAGTCAAACCTAGCTAATTCGAATCAAACTGAGTCAAACCCAGCTGAAGTCGAGCCAAGGTGACCCAAACTTAGGCAAGTTGAGTCAAACTGAGTCAAACCCAGTTAAAGTCGAGCCAAACTGAATCAAACGCAGCTAAAGTCGAGCCAAACTGAATCAAACGCAGCTAAACTCGAGCCAAACTGAGTGAAACCCAGCTAAAGTCGAGCCAAACTGAGCCAAACCCAGCTAAAGTCGAGCCAAAGTGACTCAAACCTAGACAAGTTGAGCCAAACGCAGTCAAACCTAGCTAATTCCAAACCAAAGCGAGTCAAAGCTAGCTAAATCAAGTAAATGAGTCAAACCTAGCGAAGAGAAGTCGAAACGAGTCAAATCTGATTGAGCCAGGTTGTAATTTAAAACGCCTATTATTGCTATTCCTGTATCGGTGGCCCTATTATCCCTAGATTTCTGCATCTATACGTAATAACACATTAATTTCGTATGATATATGTTGCAGCTTTTCCCGGTACTAGTGATGCTAGTTATGATAACCTGCGCTGTCTATCAGATTTTAACATCGGTGTTCAAAGTAGCTATACTAAGCCTAGTAGTCGCTTGCTATTTATCCATCAGCATCTACGAAGCCATACACGAAAGAGATGTAGAATTGACTGGAAGATGGTTAGCAGGTGTTCTGGTGATTTTCTTTATGACGTGTCTCATTGCTCATTCCCAACACACAGAAGCTACTTACAGGTAATACCTTTCATTCGCAATAAAATTAATACTCAGACCCATTAACAAGTAACGGTTTCATCGTAATCTTACGAATACGATCATTTCTCTAAATTTGGTTGAATTTTCTGGAAAGCTCACAAATTGAAATAAAATGCCAACATTCCTGCCAATCGCTATTTCTTCGAATTGGGAAAAATGACGAATGAAAAATGTTGGTAAATGCAGGTTGGACTTCTTATGGAAGTTGCAAGCAACCGAGGAGAAAGAAGAAATGGAGCACCTGAAAGCCTACAACCAAAAGCTGCTGGCCAACATACTTCCGGAACACGTGGCTGCCCACTTCTTATCTACGGTTAATTCAGACGTAAGAACGTTAACAATCTATAATATTTATACAAAAGAAATCGTATAAATTTTATCGGGCGATAATTAGGATTCGCGAAGACCAACGAAATCTATGACTTCCTCTATCGTAATTATAGTAAACTATGGAACTAATATCTCTGCTACTGAAGACACCTCGTATCTGCCACTTAATAGAAACTAGAAAAACAAGCGTTGAAAATCTCAACTCTGATAGTTAAACGAACTGTATTCAATTTCATAGTGGGAAATTGGGTGTCCCCATATTTTTAATTGGATCGCGACTCTTCTCTGCCCGTCAGCTTATCAACATTCTTCCGTGTAATTAACGATTGCAGGAATTGTACCACGAGCAGTGCGACTTCGTTTGCATAATGTTCGCCTCGATACCTAACTTTTCCGAGTTTTACGTGGAGCTCGAGGCGAATAACGAGGGCGTCGAGTGTCTCAGGCTGTTGAACGAGATCATCGCCGATTTCGACGAGCTTCTAGCTGAAGAGCCGTACAAATACATCGAGAAGATCAAGAGCACTGGTGCCACGTACATGGCTGCATCCGGTGAGAACCTACACCACCAGCTATCCTTTTCTTTTTTTTTTTTTTTTGTACACCTCTCCTCTACCCGATTACACTATTCAACGAGGCACTGATTAAAATTCGCAACGTCGTATCTCCTGTGTTTCTCTTCCTTTCTCCTATTGCTACATATTTTTTAATGCCAACAGAGGACCAGCTTTATCTTTTTCATGGAACAAATTACGTATTTTCCGTGTCACAGGCTACCAGTCTGTTCTATACTGTTTTTTTTCTTTTATTTTTTTGCTTATATTTTCGAATCTCTTCGGCAAATCTTTCGCGACCTAGTTTCTTGTATCGTTTGTTTCGTTTTTCGAAAATTCTGAATTCTTCGTGATGAAACATTGGGAAACATTTTGCAAGTTTTTTTTTTCTACGGAAGAATTGGGTATTTTTTAAAGAGATCACATTTTCTCATTGCCGAATATTCAGTGATTCAAAGTATATGCTACGTTACTGGTAATGTACTGCGTTAAATCTGTGCAAGCGTCTCGTTGTAAATCTTTTTATCGGAAGAATTCGAGCATTTTCCTGGCAATTTATTTTAAGAGAAAAGAGAGGCCCGGCAATTTTTAATCTTCTAAGAGAATTTTCCTTTGTACTCTTTCGGTAGGATTAACGAAGAACACCTGCGACATGAAAGATTACAAACACGTAACCGCGATGGCAGACTACGCGCTCAGGATACGCGAACAGCTGGCGTCTGTTAACGAACACAGCTTTAACAACTTCCGGTTGCGTGTGGGCATCAATATTGGACCGGTAACGTCGATCAATTTCGCACTAGCTGTACGACTAAACACTCAGCAAAATTCTATAAACTTCAACAGAACATGAGTATTAGACAAACTCCCTGAAATTCCTCTACTCCGAAATAAACTTCAAATCTCCTACATTCTAAAAATTTGCTAACCTCGACGAACCAATTTTTGAAACTGTCCTAGTGAACAATAAAACGTGGTAAATATTGGGTTGGCAACTAAGTGATTGCGGATTTTTTCGGTTCCACCTAATGATAAAATCCGCAATTACTTAGTTGCCAATCCAATATATCCAAACCAAAAATCGAATATTAAAAAAAAAATGAAACTCCATTAAACAAATGTTCGAACCTATTCTGATATACGGTGAACCGGATTCCAAAATTAAATTTCCACAAAAGAAAAGTCCCAGTAAACAAACTTTTCCTCCTTTCCTTGTATACGATAGAAGTTAAAAAAAAAAGAAAGAAAAAAAACATTTGAAAAACGGGTACAGAGTAAAAATCAAATTTGCCCGGGAAGAAATCCCAGTGGATGATATATTTTTTTTGAACTTGTTCCAATGTAGGTCGTCGCCGGGGTGATAGGCGCCCGAAAGCCGCAGTACGATATTTGGGGTAACGCGGTAAATGTGGCCTCGAGGATGGAGTCTACAGGCGTGTTGGATGGGATTCAGGTCACCCAGGAAGTTCGCGACATCCTAATCGCCAAAGGATATCCGCTCACCTGTCGTGGTACCATTCAGGTGAAAGGCAAGGGTAGCATGGTCACTTATTTCCTGGATGGTCCTCGTGAGCCAATCAAGGCCAGCAATATCTACAGCAATAGCAACGAGGAGAAAATCAGCTCTGTGACGAATGGTAATTTCGATGGACCTGTCTCGCCTACCGTCGACGTCTGAACCATCTTTTTATCTCGTACGGTCCATAGGGACCGAGAGAGAATTTCTGCAACGAGAACAACATTTTTCTGTAGGGGAAAAAATATTCCTATTTTCCGGATGTGCGAAGAATTTTCGAACGGCGACAAATGACGGTAAATGAGAAAAGTATACGCTGTCTTTTGGGTGACGTAATCAGCTTCTGGATTCAGCTTTGTAATATCTTTGCTGAAGCAAAAGAAAAAAAAATTTGAGGAAAGAAAGAAATCCAAAAGCAAATAAAGAAAATGCAAAATTACGCGCAGGAAATCAAACGAACTCTCAGAGGAAATTCAAAGAAATCAAAATTCAAAGGAATTTAGCTTTTTAACGAAAACACGATCGAACGATAGTTGTGGCAACGTTGCAAGGAGAAATCATGTTTATAGACACGAGACAGACAGACGATAATAATCGTTTCCTATATCGGTCCGTGTTCTTTCTCCGATCGATAGAAGCAAGGCAAATTCATTGGAAATATAAATAATATCGTGTCTGAAGTGGAAGACGAGAGGAGAGATCAAGATCCTATGCATAGTATTTTTCCAAACAGTCGATTCATCTGTACACTACTTAACCGTTAGAAGATTCAAAGAGGAGAAGTTGGAATGCAGTTTGGAAACTTGGATTCCAGCGGAGGGATAGAAAGGAGGAACATTGACATTGGAACTACTTAACCCGTCGGAAAAAATGTATCTTTTTGTCGTTAATATTGGGCTGGCAACTAAGTGGTTGCGGATTTTGCCATTAGGGGGCATTGACATAATCCGCAATCACTTAGTTGCCAACCCAATAGAAACAGGCAAGTGTTTTTTCAAGGACATCGATATTCCTCGCAAAGTCTTGAACTTCTTTTTCTTTAACACTCTGTATATATCGCGTTATCGTTATTTTCATGGTATTTAAAGATATGGTATTTAGAGGTTGGCAATTCTGATGTTAAATTATTTCGCTGTCCGTTTGCCTGTCCTACGATCCACCGACTACCGTCCCCAATGACGACGAGAATCGATTTCTAAGATTCGTCGAGTAGTTGCGAGTGGAACACGCAGGCGGGAAATCGTGTAAGCTCAAACTAACTTCCACTATGTATCTCACCAATACAGCGCGCTATATACAATAGCATCGTTATAGCGCGTATCGTACTTAAACCCTATCTCGCTATTCTCTCTGATTAGCTGCTTCGATTGCATTCTAATCCGGGGAATATGATCCTTCTAAGTTGTCAGCCATATCAATTTACAGGCTCTGGGATCAAGTAACTAATTCAGTGGTCAAATATCGTAATGGAGATGTATATCTGCAGAATAGAATCGCTCGAGTACTGAGAATCGTGCACGATTCGACGAATTGCTTTTCTAAGAGGATTGTAATTTAGAAAATTGCTTCTCCAAAGGGAAGACGTTATGAAAGTATAATTTGACAAATTTCTCTTCTTTTTTGTCTTGTTTTTTTTATTTAAAATACGTGGACGCATTAGTGGATAAGATCTGTAGAAATTTATTTAGAGAGCTATAATTCTGCTTGCGTTCGATTTGAATAAATTTTCAAGTAACTTTTCAATTTCCCAATTTTCTAATTTTCAAACGATCCCACAATCGATTGTCCTGGTTTTCGAATAGCCCGCGCTCCAGCTTTCCACTCCGACGTACCAAGAAAAATATAATCTTCGATATCCAGTTACCAGAAAATCACGTCGATCTATTCGAGCGATATTTGACCAAGTAAAAGAACGCGATCGCACATTCGAAGCTGGTAATTTGATATCTGGCTGTCAGCTCGTTACGCCCTTTCTTCTAGTCAATACACGAAAGATTAATAGGAGACGCTCGATACAACGAAACCGTGGCTGGGTTCTTCGTACTGAAATTTCGTTGGAAAAAAAAACAGAACGAGATGGGACCACGGCAAGTCTCTACGAACGAGTTCACGGCGAAGACGAACGAAAGAAAGAAAGAAAAAAGAGAAAGAAATCTACTCGAAGAAAAGAGAAAAAAAGACTCACTATTTTTACATTTCTCTTTTTTTAACTCTAATTCATCGACAAGATTAATCGTCGATTAATGAGTTTTTTAATCACGTGTAAAGATCATCTTCTATATATATACCTATACATATATATACATAGAATATATATTTAAAAATATATATATATATATATTCTGAAAATATTTTAGATAAGAGAATACACGCGTTTCTGCACAGTGTAATTTGGTCTGATAGTAGATAGTGTTTATCGACTAAACAATGCCGCGTATGGTTGCACTAACGATACCTTCTAAGCAACCGCAACTGTGTTCTATAAGTCAATAACGTGTTACTACAGAATTCTTTTGTAATTTTCTGTTCATTCGGTGAGAAATGTAGTAATACGATTTTTTATCCTTCTCGATAAAATGGCAAATATTTTATTGAAAATATTTCCAATACAGAACGTAGTACTACGTTTATCGAGATTTTACGTTTATTGAAAGATTTGTAGCTGTCGCAGAGCGGATTCTCACACTTAGCACAGTTCCACGTAATACTGTTCGAAGCTTTCGGGTGGAAACTCAAAAGGAACTTTTCCAACGTTTCGCCAGCATTGCGGCTGACAGCGACGTGCCAGGACACGAACACGATTCACTGCGTTTTTAAACTGCGAAGCAGCTGGTAAAAGAAATTTCTTTTCGACTCGGTTTCTACCAGAGAACCTCGAACCGTGTCGTGTTCGTACTCCTGCGAGTGTTAAGCGTGATCAAGATTTAACATTTCAAATTTTGTAATAATTCCAAATTTCTTAATTTTCGACTTTTATCATTTTTCAATTTTTTAACTCAACTTCTCCAATTTCTTCAAGCTACCGAGTCTTCTGATTTTTAAATCTCCAAAGTCTCAAATTTCCTTACTAATTTTATTGCTCTCCGCATTTCTATACTCGCTAAAAAAGAAAAAAAAAAAAACGTATTACTACGTTCGTATATGTTTAGCTACGTATTTTCATTTCAGTTAGGAAACCGTTAAATAATCTACAGACGTGAAATTTCCTAAGCGATCTAAATGCCTAAACTATTCTTTATTTTGTATCACCGTACGATACTTTGAAGAGGCAACGTCCGGCGTCGTGTATGCGAGGCGAGTGAAAAGTCGCGTCACGCTGTGCAATTTAAATGAAAAAAATTCCCAACGAAGATTATATTATAATTATGAATAAGCGACGCAAGATCGATGTTCTGACATAGTCAATAAAGTAATGGAAAATCGGAGCCTGGTGCGCTGATTCAATTACGTGTATCGGCAAATTTAGCGATTTTAGTCACTAGAATCTAGTGACATTTTCCTATCTATCGATAAATTGCGCGTTTCTATGCGTTTCTAGGAAATTGAAAGATGCAAACGTTTCTCACGTTTCATGCGTTCAATGTACATAATGTACAAAAATTACGTATCCAAAAGCTATGAAACAAAGCGCTTTCTCAATTTTTTTCATAGAATTGTGAAACTTCTAGATATTCGCAGTTTATCTGCCAACGATATTCAAACGTCTGATTTAGTCGTTCGTAATTTAATATTTTCTCCTTCTTTTTATCAAAATTTCTTCTTTTCTTTTACAAATCTCGCTATTCTTAGAACGCTTTAATTCCTATAAATATGTGACTTAACGATACGATAAATTCAAATTTCGTTTGACGAAAGATATTTCGTACGCGGTGAATCGATGATAATGTTTAAAGATATTACGACACCAGGCTCTATACAAAGAGAAACTTAGAAGCGAATTAATCGTCGTGCGTAGTGTCTGTCGTGATCGTGATGGATGTGAAACTTTCCAAAGAGTCTAATTAGTCGTCAATTGAAGTTGATCTTGAGCTGATAGAGCGAGCCTATAATTCAATGTTTCCTCTTGGCAAGAGAAATTGTATTTTGATGTTGCTGGCGGGTCCAGCCGTTGATAAATGTTAATCGACGTTACGATCGAACCAACCGCGGGCCATCGTTCGATAGATCGAATTAAGATCGACTTACAGATGCTTCGATGAAAAACTATCCAAATATTTTTTCAATAGCTTTTCTACCCCTTCGACTTCATTTTTGCCGATTAAAAATATTAAAATTGTACACGAACGTATCGTTTCTCCCTTCTTATTAAAATATTATACTATTGCAACATCAAAATATTGAAACGTTAAAATAGAAAATTTCTTTCGTCGAGGCATTAAAGCACGAACTGTTATCGTTCTTTTGTTAAGATCGAGAAAGAGATCTATCGAAGCACCTGTAACTTAATATTACAAAAAAATAAGCTAAAATCTGTCATATCAAGTCTAAGTGTGCAAAAGCCCAACGATGTGTTAGCTTTCTAGCGATAAACTGTATCAAACGAGTTCTCGCTGTTATGGCTGGTGTTGTAGAGATCCTTCGTCGAGGCGTTCGTTAAAAAAAGAAGAAAATTCTGAAAGAACGAAAATCTCCGTAGAGATTGGAGAAATGAAAATTGAATAAAATCTGACTTTCCGACGAAAGATTATTTTTCGAACCTCTCTGCGATACTCGTCTTAGAATGAGAATGGAAACTAGTCAATTTGAGATGAAGATGAAGATGCGTCAGGCTTTCGCCAGATTCGAGGATAATCGTTACTCTTCCTCCGTCTTTCGTGTAATTTCTCGATGGCCTAATCGCAGCAACCTGGAGTCCATACTGAACGTGTATCATAGTTATTAATCGCGGCATGTGATTTGCCAGGAATAACGTGAAATAAATTTTTATTAAAAAAAAAAAAAACCAGCTACAATGGATTATTTTATACCTTTCTACGAAAATTCACACCCACGAAATCCCCGATAAGTTCACTCCTGTAATGATTAATTACCTAAAGATTTTTAAAACAGTACGAGTTTACGGTTGTACGAATTATTTTAGGAAAAAGATAGTTAAAAATCTGAGTATAATGCAGATGTACGTACAACAGATACTCACTGGAAAAATCAACGAGACTAATAATAAAATCAATGAAAAAGAAAAAGAAAGAAAAGAGCTATAGGTAAATATCTTATAATATACAGTGGCATAATTTGCAATTTATTATAAAATAATTGATCGGAGTAGAATTCATTATAAAAGAAGGTTGCTAAATATGATAGGCATTGTCGAATACTAATCGAATAAAATCATTTAGTTAGTTTTCATAGAATTTGATACTTCTTCAAGTCTAATAGATCCTTTGATAGAT